GTGACTGGTGAAGTCCCCGGATTACACATCCAAGTGCTCGATCTCGACACCATCGACACTTTCCCGGCCGTTCGCGCCGTGTCCAAGACGTTTGCTCGGTTCATCGTTCACTTCCTCGGCGACAAGAACGAGGATGATGAGCCCTTGTGGATTCGTGAGCACGAGGTGCACCTAGAGGGTGGCCGCTTGATCGTCCCTCGTGTTCTCCCATGGAAGGAGGGCAATCAGCGTGTCAATGCGCCACGCCGCGTGGTGACTGACACAGTCAACACTCTGGAAGACACCGTCGAGGTCCTCCCTTCGGCCTCTGGCCGGTACGAGACTCGGGTCGAGAAGAGCGGCTCTTATCCTTCGCATGCCGAATCGGCCATGCATGTGGACTACAGCACTGTCAACGTGTTCAACATTGGAGGCGTCTACTCCGGCCATGTCTGCATTGGCCGCAACAACAAGACTGGCAAGGCTCAAGTTGCCCTCTCCAAGTCTAACAAGTCCTACATTTCGACTGCCTCTACGATCTTCAGCACGCTCCCCGAGGGCACTCTTGGTGTTTGTGAGCCACTCTACCTTGGTCTCCTTACCAGGTATCTCTACGCTCTCACTATTGCCGACATGGCTGATGGCAGGGCTGTCATGATCATCGAGCCTGACAGTCTGCTCTTCGAATGCGCCAAGGATGTCTTTAACAGCCGCGGCCTCTGGTTCCTGGGTGCTTCCACTTATGAACGTCGTACCCAAACTGTCCCCGGTATGGTCTTTGTTCATACCCAGTCGACTTCAAGGCAGATCGAGGCCCTCTATCCCCTTGACGGAGCTTACGTTGTCAACATGCTGCCTAAGACACACGACATCTCTCGCATGCTCACTGATTCGGTGCCTCAGAATTGCGAGTACCTCACCCAGGATGATCTAATCTCCGCTACTCATTTCACGGCCCGCCCTAACGCGGCATTTGTTCAGAAGCTCTGGGAAGAGGCTGTAGCCCTTTCGTACAACAGCATGAAGAAGATGTTGCTCGACGCCAACGAGCCTTCTTTCGATATGCAGGATCCCATTACTTTGCCGAAGTTGCTTGACTCTGCTGTGTCTGGAGAGGCTTTCCAGATGCTCGACTGGAAGGCTGAGCGATCTATCGCTCACATGATCAAGCCCATCGTGGGTGAGAAGATGCTCCGCCCTAACAGGACTTATGTCCTTGTCGGCATCACTCGCGATATGGGTCAGAGCCTCTGCTCTCTCTTCATCGAGCAGGGTGCTCGTCACCTTGTCTTGTGCAGTCGTAACCCTCCGAAGGAGCAGCCTCAGTGGCAGAGGGAGCTCAATGCTCGCGGCATCAAGGTCAAGTTTGAGGCGATGGATGTTACCAACCTCAACACCGTCATTGCTTTTAAGACGAAGCTTGCTGAAGACTCTTGGCCGCCTGTCGGAGGCGTGGTCAACGGTGCCATGGTCCTTGACGACCGCGTCTTCTCCGAGATGTCTGTCGAGACTTGGAATCGTGTCATGAACCCCAAGGTGGTTGGTTCCAAGAATCTCGACGAGGTCTTCAACTCTCCGGATATGGATTTCTTCATCATGACCTCGTCTTTCGCTGCCATTGGCGGCCACGCCGGTCAGTCGAACTATGCCGCGGCCAACATGTACATGAATGGCATCGCCGCTTCCCGTCGCTGCCGCGGACTGCCGGCCACGGCTCTCAACATTGGTGTCGTTTACGGTCTCGGCTTCCTGCACCGTGAGAAGGACGACCTGTATGCCGGCCTGGAGCGCGAGGGATATCCGCCCATCTCAGAGCGCGATCTTCATCACATGTTCCTCGAGGCTATTGCTGCTGGTAAGCCCGTGGGCCATCAAGTCTACGACATCACCACCGGCATGAACCGGTTCCGCATGGACGCACCCAACCAGCACTGGCAGCTCGATCCTCGTTTCTCTCACAACACCCTCCCCGAGGAGGACGAAACCGCCGCTGGTTCTGCCGGTCAGCAGATCAAGTCTCTTGCCGAGGATCTTGATGCTGCCATCACCAAAGAGGACGTGATGAAGGTCTATATTCTCGCCTTCATCGGTCGCTTGGAGGCCCTCCTGCAGATTGCCGAGGGCGAAATCACGCCAGCCAACAACCTCACTGAGCTTGGTGTGGACTCTCTCGTCGCGGTCGAGATCCGCTCCTGGATCTGGAAGACGGTTGCCCAGGACGTTGCGGTGATGAAGATCCTCAGCGCCACCAGCATTTCCCAGTTGTGCGACGGCATTGCCACTGACCTTTTGGCCACCCGCGGTGCTGAAGCCAAGAAGTCTACTGCTCCTACTGAGCAGAAGAAGGAGGTCCCCGCCGGATCTCAGACTTCGCAGGCCGGTGGCAGTTCGGTCAAGTCGGCTCCGAGCACCACTCCCTCTCTCGAGACTTCGGCTAGCACTTTGACTGAGGCCACTGTGGTTTCGATTGTCAGCACTTCCACTGTGATCTCCAGTGCCAGCACTGCTACCAGCGTTGGTGATGATGCTGATGAGGATAAGGCCTTGTCAGCTAGTTGGGAGGACGTGGGAAAGAAGGAGTCTGCTATCTTTCTCTAAGTGATGGATGGTGAGATTTTTCGGTGCGATTTGGTTCGATGGTTCGCTTTTCTGATGGTTCGGTTCGGTTTTCTTTTCATTTCTTCTAATACTTGTTCTCTTCTCTTCCACTAGACTAGAGTGGAATATTCTTTCTAGATCTTTTTTCACTTGCTCTCGCGAGCTAGCTAGATAGTCATGGTTACTATACCCTCAGCAACCTACTACATGGGGTCGGCGTTTTGCTTGATAAGGGTTTAAATAGTTTCGCAGTCATAGGTTGCCGGATATCGGTCGGACATGGCTTGCTCATTTGTAAACACTCCGTTCCGAATACAAGGACGAGTGGGAAATAGTTTGTAGATATAGTTGTCGGATTAGACAAAAACTTCAAAATAACTTGTGCGATTCCCTGTGCAGTGAAGAAGCAACTATCTCTCCGACGAAGTGAACAAAGGAACAAAGACAATACTGACCACGCGAATGAGGGAAGGGCACGAGGTACTGGTGATATGATGAACTAGGCTGACTAAGGAGGAGAGCACAAGACGAACAGAGGGATCGGAACCCTCGAATCCCTCGATATACATTTTATCCATGTGTGGGATCGAATACGAAGACAGTCTGCTTCAATAGTTGGCCATGGCGATGTTTGCTGAGCAAGGTTTGTCTGTGGTGCCAGTAGGGCAGTCGTTTGCTCTTGTCACGATGTCATGTTGCCGATGGTCTAGACGGCGGAAGCCCGTCAAAACAACTTATAACGACTGAATCATGAATATGGGTCGGATACCGTACGTGATAACATAAGGGTTCCCGGTAGGTAAAGAGACCTTCGTCTCTTCAACAAGACAGACTTCATGTCCCGATCCCATGTTTGTTTGCTGATTAATTCCACTTGGCAGCCGCCCCATCACCATCACCGTCCCACCAAAGCTGAGTACCGTAAACACGACGCGGGAAATAATCCTTCGAGGTACTATGGCAGAATCTGTGGGCTTCAACGGCAATAGCATTGACGCAGCTGCTCGAGTTCCTTTAACTACGGGTTTGGGTTCCAAGACTAAGAAACCCGAGCAATCTGCATTGTTGAATGTGTTTTGTCCTCAGATCTCGAAGACGGGTTTCCGGGTTCCCATGTCTTACGGTATCAAGACATGACCATGGTGGAACCAATACATGATTCGAGGTGACTTCTACGACGAGATAGGCCTTGGGACAAGGAAAGTAGAATTGCCAACAAGGAGTTGGGACCTCTCGGCCTCGTGCCGTATCACCGAGAATAAATAACCTGTGCTGTTCTACCCATGTTGGAAAGCGAGATGACATGACAGAATGAAGTTTCTGGAGGAGGAACTGGCTTGTCAATGTAGATAGGAGACGTTGGGAGGGAATGGATTGATCATATCCTAAACCCGCCCTCCACTTGTCGTCCCACTTGTCGTCTATACGAGCCATACACATGCTTGGAGAACAGTTGGTGGTCTCACGACAACGAATTTGTATGGAAAGCACGACATACGTATCCCTGTGAGACTGTACGACTCCCCTCCAAGTCCAAGGCATTTCCTCCGTTGACTTTCACGCCGGCGGGAATTTCGGTTCGTACAACAGGAGCATTTCGACAACCCTTGACAAACCTCCTCGTCTTGCATGACAGACGAAACCACAATCCACATCCAATTGGCCATTTAATATGCGCAAAAAGCGTCGATCGCCATTCCCATTACCTTCATTTGAGGGAGTTCCTGCGTTTTGAGGTGGTAATCTGACGGTCTTGGAACACCTTCCGGGCGCGGACGCGGACGCGGCATCATCAACAGGGCTCCCAGTCCGGGCTTCTTAACTCAGGCTGATATCAAACACGCATAATAGGTATGTAGTGAGGCAAAGCGACGCAACACAAGAAAACGGACAAGAAAATACGATGTTGCTAGAATGCAGTCCGTTAACGTGGTGCACCACACGCTATGGGCCTTGCCCCTCACTAAGAAGCAAGCCAAGGGGCTCAGGGGATACCAAGGCTCTTATGGGTAAGCATTTGCCATTTCCCCTCATGACACCACTTCCAATTTGGAACATGCGGAATCAGACTTCCATCCACCTTTTCCGTTCTCAATCTGGGGTACGACAAGGGAAAAGTCGAGATCTGGGGTGTTAACACGGGGCACAGAACTTTGGGAAAATGTATGCCTGTAAGCGGATGAAAAAGCCCGAATGGTTTCCCGATTCCCGGCTTGGGTCGCTTGGGTATGACACATGCAGGACCAGAATGTCGACTCCGACGTCGTTTGCCATGGTTTGGGTACAATGAAGAGCAGCAGTCGGACGATATAGAGAGGGGTATATAAGAGGAGGCTGGAAGCCCAAAAGGAAAGGAGTGATGCTCATGTGGACGCGGTTTTGAAGCAGTCAGTGGGGTTTCTGAGCATCGTCCGAAAAACACAATGAAATCCATCATCACCTTTCTTGCCCTTCTAATGGAGGCGGCAACAGTTCTCGGCGCTCCGGGCAAGGGCGTCAAGCCCGGCCCCGACGGAAAGTACACCATTGCGGCTCCGGGAATCAAGGCGCAATTTATCCCCTACGGCGCCACCCTCACCAACCTCTTTGTCAAGGACAAGAACGGCAAGGACATCGACGTGGTTCTGGGTTATGATGATGTGGACTATTACCGTTAGTGATCCGACGAGACGAAGCTGGTCGAGTCCAATGCAGAATCCACTAACGGAGACGACAGCCAAGGACCCGGGCCACCCCGTGTACAACGCCATTCCAGGTCGTTATGCCAACCGTATCGGCAAGGGCAAGTACACCATCGACGGCGAGGAGTACCACACCGAGTTGAACGACGGTAACAACACTTTGCACAGCGGCACCAACAACTGGTCGTACCGATTCTGGAACGTCACCGAACACACGCCCACTTCCATCACCTTTGCCATTTTTGATGCTTCCAACTCGTCGCTGGGCATGCTGGGCCGTGTTGATTCCACCGTGACCTACTTTGTGAGCAAGAACACCTGGCACATCAAGATGAACGCCGTTTCTCCCGAGAGGAAGACTCGTAAGTGACTGAAGGAACTCACCTCCCTTACCTGTAGTTCCGGGCTGCCATGCTAATACCACCAAGCTGTCCTTCTCACTCAACACACCTACTTCAACCTCGACGCTTACAAGAATCCGGCCACGGACAAGATCTGGGATCACACCCTGTATATGCCCTACTCGGCGCGCTACCTTGAAGCCGACCAAGGTGCCCTCCCCACCGGCAAGATTCTGACTGCGGCCCCGGGCTCCATCAACGACTTTGCCAGCGCTGCCGGCCTCGCTTTAGGCCACGCTCGCGATCAGCCGGGGTTTGCAGGCAACTGCGGTTCTAACGGCGCATGCGAGGGTTATAACGGGTATTGGTTGATCGAGGATAAGCCGTCGAGGGACGCCGTGGTCGTTTCTCTGGCGAGCCCGTTCTCTGGCGTCAAGGCCGATCTGCGGACCGATCAACCAGGTGTCGTACTGTATTCTTGCAACTGGATGGACGGGAGCGCGCAGCTGAAGAGCACACAAAAGCTTGCTGTGAATGGGACGACGGTGCCCAGAACTGTCGGTAGAAGCTCGTGTGTTGCCATTGAGGCTCAGGATTACCCCGATGGTATCAACCAGTAAGTTTGCCTTGACGAAATGACAAGCAGACTTCTCGATAGCTAACCCAAAGGCAAAGCCCGGAATGGGGACGGGTCGACAAGCAGATTCTCGGCCCTGGCCAGAAGTACAACTGGGAAAGCTCGTGGACATTCGGGCTGGTATGAGGTCAGACGGGCCGGCCGACGTTGTGATGGCGAAGAGGCGATTAAGCAGACGTCGAGGTGTGGTGGGAAACCCAACCAGACTTTGGAATCACCACCCTACCCATCATGCTCCCTTATCAATCTCGACGATATCGTGTCGAATTGTTATTCCGGAACAATACACCAGTTTAGTGTGGCGACTCCAAAGTCGCATGCCATGCTTCCCACTGCAATGTGTCCCACGAACCGTGATAGAACCAGTTCACCTGCAGCCCTGTCTATCAGCATGTAACCTAGAAGCCAGGAAATCGGACGGAACACACGTAGGGGCCGTGAGAAAGCGTTCCGGGGAGGAACAGGTCGTGATGGCGAGGAAATCATAACCCGATCGTTATCATCGCTTTTGCTGCCGAGTTCCGCTTGAAGTCGGCTTGTTGGTTGTGCGTTCCGTTCCGCCGGTATCATATTGCAACTCTGTAAGAGGCAAGTTGGAACTTGATGCAGACCTGGTGATGCTGTCACACAGCTGTGTCTGTCACAATGAGAGTGGTTACTTCGACTGGACGCGTAAGAGTCATGGAAGACCTTCTCGACTCTGTCGGCCCTCTTTGCGAAGGGGCCGATGAAACATGGCACTAGCACATGGCAGGCTAGCATACCTAGCACATCTAGGTACACAGTACAGTGACCCACGGCGGGGTCAGCAGTATCGACCCCCATTGCCAAGATTGGAAGGTAATATGGACGACTAGCGCAAGCGACTGGGAAGCTCGGAAGCGCAAGCGGACCACAGCATTTTAGCTTGTATAACGTTATCGCTACCCGGCACTTCTGTTATTGGGTACGGATTGGGGTCGAATTCGAGACGAACGAGCGATGAGTTGAAAATGCCGCGGTTATTGAGGCGTAACAGGCTGTATTGAATGATGATATTGTGGGTGGGTGGTATACAGGCTTGTCGCCGCTGCCACATTCCTCGGCGTGCAGACGATGGCATCAAAACGGCAGCAGGATGGGAGCGGAATGGGTGGCCAAGCAAGAGATCGGGCGAATTGATTGTGCTGGGCGCATATTTGACAGATCTTGTCGATTTCTTGTCAGTGCTTGTCGTTGCTTGGCTATTCCCGAGCGTGGGATGTCTGCCTCTGACGATAGGGCACATGGTTAGTCGGGTGTTCTCTTGTTGTTTTCACATCAAACTCACAAGTGCCGTTTGCATGGAAGCGATCCTTATCCAACGCTAAGAATATCAGTCCTGTAGCCGTCTGGCCTTTTGGCCTTTTGGAGCCCCTATTCCCGATGCCTAGACCTCAGTAGTGGCAATCCGACCCTATGTTAGGAACACTAAGGGGGGAGACTGAAGCAAGCGAGGACAAGGTGTCTTGGCTAACTGGCGAGTCTAATTGAACTGCCGCATCCAGCAGTTTACCCCAACGGTCTCTTGGCTACGGATATCGGCGTCCAAGTCTTTGCGCCGCTGAAGCGCAGTGTGTGACGGACAAGCCCGTAAAGAGAAGTTGTGGATTCATCATGATCATTGGTGCGGGACAACATCAGGTCGAGGTATGGAAGGCGGTTCGGATGTTCCGTCACCCAGTCAGCCCCGCTGGTCCACCGGGTTCTTCTTATTAGATTTACTGGTGTGATTGATTGAATCTATATAACTGATTCGAGCGCTCTCCCTGCAGAAGGTCTGGGGGTCTAGGGGTATCCTATATTTGCCAAGACCTATTAAATCAAGTGGCTGGGACTCTAGCATCTAGCCCACATCTAGCCAGAATACTACCCTAAAATCTAATACACCCCTTCATTTGCAAACCTCTTTTACTTCTTTGAAATTAAAAGTAAAATTATTTATACATTGTTTTTGTCGTTTTATATTTCTAATCCTAATATTCTATCTAAATTATCGAAATTTACCTTTCCTAATACTGGATTATCTCCTCTTCTACTATCTTCTTACGGTAGCACCTTAACTATCCTTAGCAACTCCCTAAACCTCTTATACTCTAAAATACCTAATACCTTTATTAATCTATTTACTAGTATTAATTCTATTTCCAAATATTCGATATTAAGAGTTTTTTTTTTCGAGAATCTCTCCTCTTAACTAATATTTATAAATACTTATATACCTTATCTTTATATTGAATGTAGGCGTTTTTTCTATGAGTGCCTTAATAGTTTACTAATTATTATAACGTAGAATAGGAATAGGATCCTCTAATAGGTTCATCCCTAATACCGATATTAATTAGTTTATAAAGAGGGTTTCTTTAATTACCTTTTCGATTACGTATAGCTTTACTTCTATTGTTAACGTAGCAACCGCGGTCTATTTAATTGCTCCCAAGTAAATTAAATTACTATATAGTTTAACCGTAAATCCTTAGGAGCTTTTGTAGTTATTTTTAATATTAGTAAATAAAGTATTAAAAGTAATTTCGAATCTATTATTCCCTCCAAAATAGAATACCCATATTTTTATTATTTTTAAATACCGTATAACCTTTTCGCTCGCCGCTAAGTAAGTAAGGTTAGGATTATAATTATATTTAACTAATTTATTTTATAAGAATGTAATATTTAATCGAATGTTAATTACTTACATAGTAAAGAGCCTACGTTAATTTAATATACTCGTATCTTTACATAGTTAATAATACCTTCGAAGGGTATTAATTCCTTATAGCCTATAGGTACTAAAGTTAATCAATAAGTTAATTTAAATAATTTAGTAATTTTATCGATATATACGTCTTAAAATAAACAGATCTTTCTTTAGTTTTAATTATATATAGCTTTAATACCTAGAAACTATTAGAATTTATTTCTTCTTATTAAATAATATTGTAATTATAATTTTATTATATATTGTTTAACTCCATTTATCTTATTTTTATTAAATATAAAAAGGATATTTTTAATCTAGTATAATATAAAAATACCGTCTTTCTTTATAATATATAGGTATTTAAGGATCGCTTTAAATCCTATTAATTTAAATACCCCGTTTAATTTCATTACTATAATAAAAAAAGCTCGTTAGAAACTATATAGGGCTTTAATAAATTTAAGAACCTTCCCGGGTACTCGATACCCTAGTAATATATATATATATAGATCTCCTTATCGAAATAAGTATTTATAAAAGCGTTAATTATATCGTATTAAATAAATTTAAAATTAAAGTAAATAGCGAAAGCAATAATAATATAAAAAATTGACCCGCGAAGGTAGACGCGTACATATTAACTCCTATCTTTTTTTATTAATTACTTTTTACAACGAACTTCGTTTTTACTTTATTAAATATTTTGTTCTTATTAAACTTATAAATATAAACCTATATATAATCGAAGATTTATTTATATTTAAAATAAGGGATATTCTTATCTACTTCGATTTATATCTTTATATTTTTATAACTTTTAAAATAAACTTCCCTTTACTTCCTTAAATTTTTAATTAAATACGTAGGTATTTAAATTGTAGCACTTTTTAAGTATTAAGGGGAAATTATATCGGTATATCTTATTAAAATAATTATATTTTATAATTAACCATTCGATTTCTGCTTTACTAATTATCTTTTTATTTATTTTAATTACTAATTAAGCTAATTTATGAACGTTAAAGGCGGTTTTTTATAATTTTTAATAACGAACGTACTAATTAATAATTCGGTCGATAAAATAGTTGGTATAGAGTATAGTTAATAGAGTAAATAAAAACGACGGGTATAAATTTATAATATATTCGATAAATATTTTATTGTTAATAAATTATTGAATTAGTATTTCTTATAATTAATTACTCCTATTTTAAAAGACTTCTTAATTCCTTTAACAATTCTCCTAATTTTAATCGAAGAAATTTAACGGGAAAGGTTTAATATTACTATTATTAACGTTGTTTAATAGTATATAACTTTTAATATAAGATAATTCGGATACCTCCGAAGGTTAATTAGCGGGCTCATTTATCCTATTAAATAAATCAGCTAATTCCTTACTAATAATTTTGAAATCGTTTTTAAACTTCTTAATATTTAAGTAATAAATAATATTTTTATCGAATATTACATCCTTAGTCTAAACGATCCAATTTATATAGGGATTCTATATATAATAAATAGAGGTCGTTAAATAACTAATAAATTACCCGATTTAAACTTTTAAGTTATATTTTTAAAATCTCTATTCCTTCCTTTAAGCAGCACTTATTATAGTAAATACTTTATACCTATAAACTCGAAGGTAATTTAGATTTAGTTCATATAATTTTTATTAATTATATTAATTTATAATATAGGTATAAAATCGTTCAAAGGGAGATTTCTAATTATATAAATAACGAAAGTAACGGTTAATAAAATAAATAGTTATATGAGTGATCTTTAATTATAAAATTTCTAGTATTTTCGAATTTAATAATATTGTATAATATTTCTCATTAATTATACTCTTTAAACGTTCTACCTTTTTATTTTATACTTAGATATTAAGAATAAAAAGTTCAAAAACCGTATTATACCGGGCGAATTTATCCTTAATTTTATTACTTATAAATTCATTATTATATTCGACAATTTTAATATTAATATTATATTAATATTTAAAATTTAAATATAATTAACTAAAGTATTAATTATCGTAATAACTTTTCTGTTCGATAAATAATAGTCCTAAATTAATCTTAATTATTAATGAATAATTGGAAGGAAGTAGTATAATCCTTTAAATCCTAATTTAAAATCGAGGAAGTCGACAGCGAATCTTTCCCTTAGGCCATAGCCTCGGTCTCTCGAAACGTAGCTAATTTATCATTTTATTTTTACTATACTATATACATCATATTTAATTAAAAATATATTACGTAGTCGTACTCTGTTAATATTTTATAAATACTCGAATACTTAAAAACTTAAATAACCAAACTATTAATACTATATTTCCGTTAATTATCTCGAAAATAATTATACATAAAATTTAATTTAATAACGACGCGCTACGAACGAG